CTGGCCAAAATGGTGCTCAGCAAAAGCGTCTCTCTTCCCTTTAGACAGCAACTGGTTGAAAACCAGACCTCACACAGAATTTCCCAATTGGTGGCCCCACAATACTTGGTGAATTGAATTAGTTTTTGTTGTTTTAAGACACAGATGTGGGACAGCCAGAAAGCCAATATGGTAGCTAGCAGCCATGAGCTGTTCACTCCACTTTGCTTTATCTTAATTACCATTTTTTTTTCTGTGTCCTTTAAGTCAATAAAGTGAAAATCTTGTGTAAGAACAATTGTTCTCAAGCTTCTTTGGTTCAGAACACTTTAATACAACTGGAATTATTGAGGACCACAAAGAACTTTGTTTATGTGGGTTATATTCAATGGTGTGCTGGTATCAGCTTGTACCCACCATAAGAATTCATTATTCTGGAAATTTTTAGGTCAAGTATTAGACTGTTGGAAGCTTGCAAATGGCAATGTAACGAGTATTTACACCACTGAAAGTGACAAATCCTACAAATCAGGACTTTTTTTTTTCTTTTCATGGAGATCCAGTTTACCTGAACACCTCAGAACTTATCTAATGATATTTTCTATGTCAAACATTAAAATAAAGAACTTTTGAAGACATTCAGTTAAAAATAATAATAAAACCATTACATGTGAACATAAATATTGTATTTTATTTTATTTCTTATTTTTGGAACCAGGGATTGAACCCAGGAGCACCTAACCACTAAGCCACATTCTCAGCCCTTTTTTAAATTTTTTTTTTGATTTTTTTTTTATTTTAAGAGAGTCTTGATAAGTTGCTGAGGCTGGCTTTGAACTTGTGATCCTCCTGCCTCAGCCTCCTGAGCCACTGAGATTATAGGTATGTACCAAAGGCCCAGCTAAATATTGTAACTTAAACATACTTTTTTTTCAAACAATAATTTAATGAGAAGATTCACATTGTTTTTATTTTTGCAGTGTCTTTAATGACTGACTTAATAGAAGACAGATTTGAATATCTATTTCTGCATCCTTCAGTCAGCTTTTTTTTGTTGCCATGATCAAAAGACCTGACAAGAACAATTTTAGAGGAGGAAAAGTTTATTTTGGGATACACAGTTTCAGAGGTCTTTATCTGACAGCTGACTCTATTCTATGGTGCCCGAGGTAAGTCAGGACATCATGACGGGAGAGTATGGTGGAGCAGCTGGGAGCATGGCACCAGGAAGCACAGAGACAAATTTCAGCTCATGAAATATATACCCCAAAGCCATGTCCCCCAATAACCCGCCTCCTTCAGCCACACCTACCTGCCTATAGTCACCACTCAGTTAATCCCTATTAAGGCTGTCATAACCCAATCATTTTACCTCAACCTCCTTGCATTGTCTCACACATGAGTTTTTGGGGAATACCTAATAACTAAACCATAACACTGTGTTTAACTTGTTGCATTGTAACATCATGTAATCTCTGGAAAACTCAACTGTACTTCTGTGAAAACATCAGACCAAAAGAGATGAATAAGGTCTTAATGTGTTAAGATAGTTTTGATCTCATGGATCTCCTGACTCTGAGATTACTGCATTAGGGCATTTCTCTTCTTTCCTGAAATTGCAGCTCCCTTAACCACACCTCCTTCATCGAACACAATTGGCCTTATTTATCCTATGGTCGATTTTTCTCCATGCACTCAGACACTTAAAAAGCTGGTTCATAAACACTGCCTAACATTTTCCACTTGCTTCTGAAAACCAAGAACATGCTGTTTTCTTAATTTCTTAAATCTGGAAATATAATCTAAAATTTTCCAACTGTATATTCAACAGCCAAGTATTCCATTTCCTCAAAAATACTATTTTTGACTTGGTGGAAAAAAAAACACTTTTTTGTGTTAATAAAATTCAAGTGTGTTTTCTGAACTCAACTGTATCTTGAGGAAAAAAAATAACAGAAGAGTATAAAGGTCACTTTCTGGTGAGAGAGAGGATCCTATTTCTGGTGGCCATGAGCTGAGACCATCTGACTTCATTTAATATTTCTATGGACTCAGGAACTTTAAAAGGTCATGTTACCATAACTTAGTTGAAATATTTTTTTCCCTTTTTTAAATTGGGGATTGAACTCACTCGACCACTGAGCCACATCCCCACCCCTATTTTATATTTTATTTAGAGACAGGGTCTCCATGAGTTGCTTAGTGCCTTGCTAAATTGCTGAGGCTGGATTTGAACTCATAATCCTCCTGCCTCATCCTCCTGAGCCTCCGGGATTACAGGCATGCACCACCATGCCTGGCATTGAAATAATTTTTTTTCATTGAGTATGAATCCAAAAATACTTCATTGGAAACTTTGTATTGATTTTTCAACTCTCAGAGGTTGAGGGACCCAGGCAGCATTCAACAGCCCAGGATTGTCACTCAGGGCAAAGGGGCAGCACAGTCCCCCTACCAGTGTCCTCCCTGCTCTAATGTTTGTTTCTCACTAGGAAATGACGGTAGACATTAAACTTAATGCTTATAAGCCAGGAATCTGAGTATATTTTAATGATCTAACCTTGAAATTTCCTAAAAAAGAATAAAACAAATAGAAAGCTTATTGCCCAGTGTCTTTGGTAGAAATCATGCTGTATCTTTATATTTTTTTAAATTTTTAAATCTCAACTTGATTTACTAACTCCATTCTCTATGTCCAAAGAAGCTGATCTTTATGGATTACATCCTCCTGGTTCCCTAAATTTCACACTGTGAGGTTAATAGGAGAGGAGCAATGGGAGGCACCAGGAAGAGATCAGAGGGTCACAGAGAAGGGGTCAGTGTATTCCTGTCTCTATCCCCGGGGGGCTTGGGGAGGTAACAGCTTTCCCTAACTGCTAGTCTCTGGGAACTTCACCAACCCCTGTAGGTTTCCTTAACCCTGCCCATTCCTCTGCAAATCACCTCTTCACTAAACACTCCTCAGTTAAACCTTTCAAGTGTGCCATCTGGCCAGGACCCAAAAGATATAATAAACTATTCCAAACAGCTATCAAGCAAAAATTTTCATGTTTATTAATACAGGTTACATAATGTTTTTTAAAAAAAGAGAGTGAACATAAAAACTGAAATAATATAAGTACAATAATGATAATCATATTAAGTCAGAGGCATTTTAATATGTATAGGCTGAATAAACAAGATAATCTACTACTTTAAAAAGTGAATATAGTAACTAGTTAACAAAATAAGTACTAACTTCTACTTAAAATACAGTTATATTACTCTTCTGTAAATTATTCTATGATATTTGGAAATACTTTACTCTTTTTATTATGTTTTTTATTTTTATTTTTTTGTGGTGCTGGGAATTGAACCCAGGGCCTTGTGCATGCAAGGCAAGCACTCTACCAACTGAGCTATACCCCAGTCCCTACTTTGCTCATTTAAATAGTTGTGAAGTCCAAAATTTTCCATTTTTCCACTTTTTTTTATTTAAAATATTTTTTTAAATCAGGAAAAAAATATATTTTAACCTAATTTTCAAATTACTTTGTCAAACCCACAAAAGACTTTCTATTTTCTACAATTATGATGGATTTTTTTTTAAAAAAATGCTTTTTTAAACAGTCCCTTAATTCTTAAGGAAAGTGAATGGAAAATATAGAAAAATTTTCCTAGATTTCAATGTCAATTCCATTTTCTTCGTAACTAGATGAACATAAATTATTCTTAAAAGAAAAGTTTATTTGAAGCCTGGTGTGATAGCACATGCCTATAAATACCCAGCTACTCAGGAGGCTGAGGCAGGAGTACCCAACATTTGAGGCCAGCCTGGGCAAGTTAGTGAGACCTAGACTCAAAATAAAATTTAAATAAAGGGCTGGGGATGTAGGTCAGCGGCAGAGTACTTGTCTAACAAGCACAAGGCTCTGGGTTCAATCCCCAGTTTCATTAGAAAACAAGAACAAAAAATGTGTGTGTGTGTGTGTGTGTGTGTGTGTGTGAGAGAGAGAGAGAGAGAGAGAGAGAGAGAGAAAGTTGATTGAGCATCTTACTAAACAAAATATTTATAAATAAATAGTATCAAATTAATGTAGAGTGACTTATTTAAGAAACATACACTTCCTGTGTTTTCATCTTAAATTGTAATCACAGGAAGTAGAAACCCAATGTTCAAAGATCTTTAGATGATAGGTTTGCTTGTGTGAAATGCTTGTTGACATCTGATTAACAACACTTTTTTATATAGGACATATTTATTACATGTATATCACAATCTAGCTATGTGCCTTCTGCATTGCTTTTCTGAGCAAGATCTTAGTCTTATATATTCTGTAGGCCTGGTACCTATCAGAGTGGCTAGGTGCCTCTGTATGAGAGCCAACCTTGCAAGACATCTTCTTGACATGAGCATGCCTTCCTTCTCTGTTCCTAAGAGGGGCAGAAAAGCCTTTCATAGTTACTACCTCCCAGGATGTCCATCCTGCTTTGCGGATTTCCTATAGATGTGATCAGTTCACAGCTAGCCCTTGGGAGTGCCCCAGGAAAATGGAGTGAGTGTGGTGGTCTCCAGTTTCTGCTCTCTGGGAGGCTTACCTGGAGGTTTCTGGCCAATGTGCAGCTCTGCCATTTTCTGCTGCTTGGTGTCCTCCATGGGGTGGACATGTGCAGCTCTCAGTGTGGGCTGCATAAAAGGCAGTTTATTCACTAGTGGGATTTATGCTCATTTTGGTTCACATAGTCTGTGTATAAAACATCAAAAATGCTACCCATATCAAAATGGGCTTTTCATCTTTTTTGATAATTTTCGACAAGAATTCAAACTTTGATACATTTGAAATGAAAAATAGTAAACTTTTCTACACAGAGATAATACCAAACTTTATCCTTCCATGACTTACATATTGTTTCCCAACAATTTCAAAATGCACTTATTTGCAAAAGTTGTAAAGTCCAAACTATGGAATTTCTCACTATTGATGGATATCTTTAGATGTCCAGGGCTAAAGTATACCAACCTAGATGTTTTCCATTTTAAGTCAGAGATTATTTCCATAATTGCTGGGAAGAAAATGTGAGTTTCCAAGTGCCTATATCATACTGCACTGCAAATAATATGTATTTGTGCATATATGTACACATATAAGTCACCTAGATATATCAAAAAGTGACATTTAGTAATTGTAGCACTGGCAGGCAATAATCCCTTGGAGTAACACTGTTTTCTCTTCCTGTTACCTTTTCTGACAATTAAACAACATATATGCTTGATGGCTCTCTTAGGAAGCAGACATGCAAATCATACATTGGTTGTTTTAGACGGTGAAGTAGTTTTTCAAGGGACTAATAGAATCCCCAGGTTATCTGCTTTCTAACCTTCTCTTTTTAAGTCAATGTTTATAATTGTCATGAACATGATGGAGGCATACATATATTACTGTAAAATGTTGTAGTGGCAAAGCAACACATTTCACACCAATTTCCAGCAGTTCCTTTTCCTAAGTTAACAGCTTTTTGTATATGCTGTTATTCAGGTGACTAGAGCACGTATCCATTTTACTTGCCATCAACTGACCACTGCTGTTGTAACTGTTGGGGTCAGAACTTTCTTTACAGCATAAGATACCATAGAGGTGCCTCTGGCACTCAGAGGAAGCATAGTAGTAGATCAGGGGATCAATGCAACAGCTCACACTGCTGACACAGACACAGAGGAGATAAGCAAAATAGGCAGCCTCTGTGGCGGGGTTATGAGAGAGGAATAAGTAATGCATAATCAGGAGGACATTTGTGGGTCCAAAGCAGAGAATGAAGATGCAGAAGACAGCAGCAGACAAGAACAAAGCCCGAGACTTCTTGCTCCGGTTGGCCACAGCTGAAGAGCTAAGACATCGGATGATGGACACATAGCAGACTGTAGAAATGATCAACGGCACAAAAAAGAAGACAGCCGAGAAGGCTGAGAAGTAATAGGCGTAAAAGCCTTCGAGCAGGGTTTCATTGAGCACATCGTGACAGGTGGTGATGTTGAGTCCCGGGACCTGGGTGGTCTGCTCCTTGAGGAGGAGAGGCACCACCCCTGCGATGGCCATAGCCCAGATGGCCAGACAAGTGAAGGAAGCCCTTCCCAGAGTGCGCCAGGAGAGGGACTGGATGGGATACACCACAGCCAGGAACCGGTCAATGCTTATGACCGTCATGAGCATGATGGAGGCGTACATGTTACAGTAAAACGCTGCAGTGGCAAAGCGACACATTTCAGACCCAAATTTCCAGTCGCTGCCCGAAAAGTAATAGCTGATCTTAAAGGGCAGCACGGACACAAACAGCACATCTGCTGTGGCCAGGTGTAACATGTACACCACGGCTGGCTTCTTGATCTTCATCTTCAGGATGAACACAGCAATGGCCATGATGTTTAGGGGAAGGCTGATGATGAACACGCAGGTGTAAACAGAAGGGATAAAGAGAGTCAGCCAGGGGCTGGTCAGGTATCCTGAGGCATCTTTCGAGATGAACACAGGGGGTGGTTTTTGAAGAGGACTGCTTTTATTGAGGGAGACGAATCTGTCTTCCGTTAATGCACTTTCATTTTTCTCTTCATCCTCTCCCAATGGGAAGATTTCAAATCTATCATTGGAATTCCTGAGAAAAAATGACCGGGGATTCACAGTAGCATTTGTTGCTTGTGACTCTGAAAAATAGAAATTTTAAAAATAAATAAACTCAAAAGGCAAAAGAGGCATGTAAAGAATACATTTTGCTTTTGTTTGTTGTTTTCTTCCTAGCAGAGGGGGTGGTAAAGATCAGTTCATGCACAGATAGACAATAGGTTTTATATTAGAGAATAAGATAACTCAAAATTTTGTGTCATGTTGTGTTTTGATAGAAGCTAATATTTTTAAAACTGCGTGCCCCAAAGGAACTCAGGTGAATGATATACTTTCAGAAAGGTCCCTGACATGAAGGAATCTAACAGTATTATCTTCTGTACGACCTTCTGTCCGCATATGCAAATCACACAATTAGCTTCTATGAATACTCTTCTCTCCATATGCTTTCAGGTACACATTTTCACCAGTTAGTTTGTGCCATCCTGTGAAATCCTCCACAAGGAAAGTGGAGGGGAATTCTTAAATGCTACAGAGCATGCAACACATTGACCCAGGACTCCCAATTCTAAGACTATTATCCATGTGACTGTAGTTAACCTCTTCTATATTTAGTTTGCTTACATAGTAGTATGCCCAAACCTCTCATGTATATCTGGGTCCTAACCACAGTCCTTCAGGTTATCTCCTCATAAAACCATGAGATATCTATCACCTTAGTCATCATCCTGCCTCCTTCTTGAGGAGGTCAGCACAGCAGTATGTTCTCAGCCATTCACACCAGGCAAGTACCTTGGCTTTTCTCTAGAATGCTACATGCCTCAAGGCACATGCCAGGCCAACCAGACTTACTACAATAGCAACCAGAAGTCAAAATAAAGGCTGAGCTGTGCAGTCTTCCTTTTATCTCTCTCTTTCACACACACACAAACATCCATTTGAAATGTCAATCAGAGAAAAGCAACACTTAGCAGAGGAAATTCGATAAGCTTTTCCTTCCAAGAAGCTTTGCTAAAATCCTGTCACTGGGGAGTCTTGGACAAAGAGCCTTTGTTGGACCTTGGGAAGCTAAGGTGGGAAGAGAGAAACCACAGAGGAAAAAGAGGAAGGGCTCTATTGCTCACAACAGAGGCTGGACATGTAGGTCTCTGAGAATGATGTTAGAGGATTTAAAACTTGGCTGGAAGCTGTCCAAGTATAGAGACTTTTTAAATTTTGTTTTCCAAGCTTGAGTACCCTTCCTGCAAACAAAACTTTACACAGAAAGGCATAATGCAACAGAAAAACAAATATTGTTTCCTGGATGGCTCTGTAAGGTCCCCCATATCCAACCAACCCTTAGATAAAAATGATAAAACTCTGCACTCTCCCCAACACCACCATCAATGGCCTGAGAGCTTTTTGGTTCACAGGATGGTAGAAAGAGAGGGTGGAGGAAAGAATGGATAAATCTTGGAGGAAAGGGTGGCACCAGGTTCATATTTTTAGTGACTTTTAGCTTGAGAAATGGCCAAAGTCAGTGTCTGTGATATTGTGAAATACATGTTTGGTCACCCTCCCATTTCCTCCTAGTACACAGTTATTAAAATTCTTGGAATCTCTAAAGTGATAAGAATGTCTTTTGTATGCTAATGAGCTGACTTGTCCTTAATGGCTCCTAGATAGCTTCWGGATGGGGGCTGGTCACAGGGAAGGATTAAGCCATGATTGAAGGAAGAGGATGTGGGAGCTCCAAGCCCCTTCCCACAAGACTAGTCCTATGTATCTCTTCCATCTGGCTTCCATCAGTATCCTTGTAATATCCTTTGTAACATATGGGAAAACATAATTAAAACATTTCTGTGTGTTCTGTAAGGCATTCTAGCAAATTAATTGAAACTGAGGAGGAGTCCGTGGAAATCCCAATACATAGATGGTTGATCAGAAGAAGTTCTATAGACACTGTAAAGTTAAAAGAGAATCCCAGAAAGGAGAAAGCTAAAGAGGGGAAACCCTAAATTCTAGTGTAAATTCTGTCTTCTGCTTTAACTGACCATTGAAATTTGCATGTGTAGGGTACATGCAAGGTAACCTTCATAAACAGAAAAGAACTGAAGTGATATTTGAGTGTCTGCTCAAGACAGTTTGCAGTCTGGATCTAGTCAAATTAACTGACCACTAAGGCAAAAGCACTAATTCTCTTTGAAGGATTATAACAAAATCCAGAGTCTTCATAGCACAACATTATCCAGAATACAATCCAAAATCATGATAAGAAGAACTGGGAGGTTCTACCAGAYCTAACCATCTTTTAGATAAAAATGATAAACTCTGAATCCCTTATCTCATGCCATATACAAAACCAAACTCAAAATAGATTTCAACCTAAGCCCTGAAGCTATAAAAGTACTGGAAGAAAAACATAGAAAGCTCCATGACATTATTCTAGGTAATGCTTTTATAGATACGACTCCAAGACTACAACAACAAAAACAGAAATATTCAAATAAGATGTCTTTAAACTAAAAAGCTTCTGCACAGCAAAGAAAACAATCAACAATAAAGAGACAACTTACAGAATGGATGAAAAACATAATGTGAAGAGCAGATTATGCTAAGCGAAGCTAGCCAAGCCCTAAAAAACAAATGCCAAATGTCTCCTTTGATATAAGGAGAGTTACTAAGAACAGACTAGGGAAGAAGAGCACGAGAAGAAGACCAACGTTAAACAAGGATGAGAGGTGGGAGGGAAAGGGAGAGAGAAGGGAAATTGCATGGAAATGGAAGGAGACCCTCAGGGTTATACAAAATTACATACAAGAGGAAGTGAGGGGAAAGGGAAAAACAGTACAAGGGGGAGGAATGAATTACAGTAGTGGGGGTAGAGAGAGAAGAGGGGAGGGGAGGGGAGGGGGGATAGTAGAGGATAGGAAAGGCAGCAGAATACAACAGACATGAGTTTATCAATATGTAAAGCAATGAAGTGTAACTGATGTGATTCTGCAAGCTGTATACGGGGTAAAATGGGAGTTTATAACCTGCTTGAATCAAAATGTGAAATATGATATATCAAGAACTATGTAATGTTTTGAACAACCAACATTAAAAAATAAATAAATAAATAAATAAATAAAATGGAAAAAAGAATTGAATAAACATTTCTTTAATGATGACATAAAGCTTATGAAAAACTGCTTAACATCACTAATCATCAGGGAAGTGAAAATTAAAACCACAATGAGATATTCCCCCCTTCTAATATCTGTTATAATAGTCGTCACGAAAAAAAAAAAAATGAAAGATAACAAATGTTGGCAAGAATGTAGAGAAAAGAGAACTCCTGTACTCTACTGTTAGAAATGTAAATTAGTCCAATCATCATGGAAAACAGTATGGAGGTTCCCCAAAAACTTAAAAATAGAGCTACAATATGATTCAGCAATCTTATTACTGAGCATATAACCAAAGGATATGAAATCAGTATGTCCAGGAGATATCTGCACATCCATGTGCAGCATTATTCACTGTAGTCAATATATGGAATCCAGCTAAATGTCAACTGACAGATGGATGGATAAAGAAAATATGGTGTATGTACATAAAAGCATACTGGTAATACTTTACAAAGAAGGGAAGTGTGTTATTTGGAACAAYATGGATGAACCTGGGAGAACACTGTTAAGTAAAATAAGCCAAACACAGAAAGACAAATAACTACATGATTTCCCTTATATGTGGAATCTAAAAGGGTTAAATTCAATGACAGGAGAATGGTGGTTACCAGGAACTGAGAGATGAGGTGGGGATTAGGGAGTGGCTGGGGAGAAATGGTCAAAGGTATAAAATTTCAGTGAGATAGAAAGTTCTAGAACTTTTGTACAACATGATGACTATAGTTAACAACAATGTATTGTACATGTGAAAGTTTCAAGAGTAGATTATAATTGTTCTCACCACAAAAAAATGGTTAAGTATGTCACGTAATTCATATGGTAATTAGCTCGTTTTAGCCATTCCACAATGTATACATATTTCAAAACATCATGTTATATACAACAAATATTTATGATTTTTATTAATAAAAAAGGAAAATAGAAAAGAATCAATAAAAGATGACCCATTCTCAAGTAAAAAGAACAATCAACGGAAACCCCAAGTAAGAATTTTAAATGTATCACAACTATATTCAGTGATGTAAACTTTTGACCGAAACAAATTAAAAAATAGGAAATACCAAAAATTAACTAACAAATGGAAGTTGAAAATAAAATAAAATATGTCAACATCAATTTACAAAATGAAGGGCAAAGCTAGAGTAGTATCAACTCAGAGATAGTAACATGGCAGTGAGAAGCTGAGGTCAAACTACCTTAGCAAGGTCCTTTGTGGTCCCCTGAGAGCCTGGCAGGAAACTGGTCATGGGTGACAGGTAATAGATGTGAGTAATGTGGAACATACGATTAAGGGGATCATTCTATGAACTGGACCTACTGTACTGGCCCCCACATGCTCTGTCTCCAAAAACAATTTACTTGCAGCCCTGYCTGGCTTATGTYAATGGGATATGTTATGTTCCTCAAGAATAATCTATTACCTGAAAGACTCCTCCCTGCTGACAAAAAGAACACAGATTACCCAGAAGCAGAGGGGTGGGGAGATGGGACTGCTATGTCCTTTACATAGACCATATTCCACATCTCAGGGTGACAGGATAATTCCCCCTAATCACATAAATCTATAAGAACAAGTTTCAACTAGAATGGGCCAATGTAGGCCAAAGTGACCCAGAGTTGCCCTGGATCTTTAGCATGTCATTACAATAGTAAAATCTTCCTTCCATGGGGGCAATACCATGCACAAAGGGGCCTTCGAAGTCTGACCCAATCCTGTTGTCAGAAGTCAAGAGGTAGTCTTGGGGCAGGACTCTCTGGAAACTTCCCTGAGACCCCCCAATAAAACAGGAGGGCAGGAAAGTCATGCCCTACCTCTCTGAAAGGACCYGTTCTCTTCCTTAAGAGTGTTTCTCTCCCCACTTTTCCTATCCCTTCTAATAAAGACATGCCTACTCAGAGTAACACGTCTGAAATCTTTCCAGTGAGAGTAC